GTGGGCCGTTGGTGGAGCGGTGACTCCACGGCCACCCAGCGCTCCCGGGTGGGTGCAAGCCTTTTGTTGGTTTCACCCAGCGGTGACTTTGCCTATTATCACTTGCTCTAACAATTAATAAATTACATTTTATTTGCACTTACCTAGTTGGTGATTGATTCCCCACCGCAACCTATAACGGCGTCGTTTCTCACAACAAACAAAAAGACCACTTGATTTTTAGGGGAAAATGAAAATAATCAAGATCAATAACTCAGAGGCTCTGGAACTCCAAGCAAGCTGAAGTTGTAAAACCACCATGGCCCAGGCACTGAGACTCATGAAACAGCAGCAGGTCATGGCACGGAGAGTAGCCGGCTGAATGGGGAGCTCCTGGTGACCTGGGCACTTTCTCTTTCATGTCCCTGACCTGGCAGGAGCCGCTTTAGGACACGGATCCCAAAGGATCAAGAGAGACCAGGAAGCATCGCTGATCTGCACAGACCCCTTTGCCTGCTGCTGCCCCACAGGGAACAGGTCAGTGGAATGTTTGCCTTCCTCCCTACCCCACCTTCCTCTCCTGCAGCAGCTGCTCTGTTCCTGCCACCCTCTCCCGGTGACTGCAGGGCCCTCCCAGCTCCCCCCTCCTCTGCCCTGTGCCTGAACAGCCCAACCCTCCACCTCCCTCTCACACCCCACAATTTCCACTGCCCTCCTCCCCTGCATATCTCACTCCTCCCACCACTGAATCCTTCCCACTGCAGGGAGCTGCTGAGGAGCCGCATGGTCCATCCCTGGACTCTCCAAGCACTCACTGCCCATCCACTCTGACCACAGCCAGGGCCACATCCCACTGCCTGCCCAGCGTCCATCCATGGAGGTGAGTACCGTGTCCCCATCTCCTGCCTCACCCACTGAAGGAGATGATCTGTGTGAGACAGATGTCACCAGCGTGGCTATACACAGTGTGACACTGCTCATCTGCCTCTGTGGGCTGGCTGGGAACGGGGCTGTCATCGGCCTCCTCAACCTGAAAATCCCCAACTATCGCTTCTTTGTCCTGGCTGTCACTGATTTCCTCTTCCTCCTCCTCACAGTCCCCTCTGCCCTTTTACTGGTGGAGAATGTGTTCTGCTCTCCTGTCATGCCCCTGCTGTACCTGAGTTTCCTTTTCCAGCTCTCAGTGGTCTCCTACTACTACTGGGCGCTGTTATCACTGATGCCCAGGAGACGTGTTGTATATATGTATAAGCTCTGAACGTTCTGCTGTCGCTGTAACCTGCTTCTACGCCTGAGGTGGGTGGTGGCAAGTGTCCAATACTGGGCCTTCTTTGCTCTCTTTGCTGTCATTCCCACAGTGACATTCCTGTGCCCATCAGATGAGCAGGAGCTCTGCCGGGCAGCTCTCATCTCCATGTACATCATCATGCTGCTCCTCTTTGTTATACCCATGCTCATTTCAATCACAGTTGATTTCATTAATTCTAACTGGGGCTCCCAGCAGCAGCAGCCCAGAAGGCGTGACATTGTTATCCTCATCATTGCGCTCTTCACTCTCTTCCTCAGGCTCTGGAATTTCCTGCAGCAACTCAGTTACATCGTTGTGTCATCAGAGGTTTTTTTACTGCTCGCCTGTATCCACAGCAGCACCAAATCCTTCATCTACTTCTTGGCAGGGAGGTGCTGGAGGCCCTGCTCCATGGGGTCCCTCCGGCTCTCCCTCCAGAGGGTCATTGAGGAGCAGAAAAAGAAACTGCATGGAGAAATGATCCTGCCATGAACACGGGGGTCTGAGCCTGTTTATTCCTCCCCCTGCTCTGCTGAGTGACCCTAGGACAGTGACTGAGGGATTCCCTGAGTCACCGGATCAATCAATATCCACAGGATCACCCTCCCCATCATGTTGTATTCCTGCAGGAGAAGGGATCAGGAGAATTGCCTTGGGTGATTTTTGTGGGATGCTCTGCAGGGAGCACACTGGAGCATGGCTTTCTTCCTCCCTCCTGGATCCACATGGCTCCAAGCAGTGCAGCTGGGCTCAGTGCTGTCCCCCAGATCTATTCCCCATCAAATGACCCTCATGGCCTCAGCCCCAGGGAATGAACTCCATCTCCTCTGGCTCAGCCAGATGAGTTCCATGGTGTTTTCGTCAGGGAGCTCTTGCCTGCAAAGCATGGGACACCTTAATCCCTGGGGACACACCCAGCA